ACACANACACACACACACACACACACACACACACACACACACACACACACACACACAAATACTTATTTGTTCAGTGCACTTATTATTTAGCAAACTCAACCAGAGTATCATTTGATAGTGTGAAGTACTTGGAGTTCAGAGTGTGATATATTTAAAATTTGGGTAAGTTCAGGTTCTAATATAACCAAAAGTCTTTTTCTTCTAAAAGTAGTAAGAGAATGAGATAGATGTCTGTAGTTTCAGGGTGCTTTTTTTATGAGAGTCGTAACTTGCCATAGTGTTTGTTTTTAATTCAGAAAATCTAGAAACTGGGGTGCTAACAAATTGATAGCTATTGTAAGCCCATGGCAATTAAATATTTTCCATTTTTTGCTATATTAAAATATTTAATATGTGAAGAATCAGGACCAGATTTCAAAATTTTAAAGCTGTTGAAATTTACAACTATACCAGTTAGCTAGTAGTGTTCTGTCAAACCACAGCCTCATTGATATCGTTTGGTTGATGGAATACTTATTTGGGAAACCATTATAACAGGCTTTATTTTCAAATAAGATCTCATAAGGGGAAAATATTCAGACTTTTAAAAAAATCTAGACTTTTTCATGTAATAAAAGCAAAAACTAAGACTTTTCTTCATCTAAGAAAAAAAGTCACCTTAAGTGCTTATTTTATCTATATTTCTTACCTGAAATTATTTTTAGTTTTTCTTTTTGATGTGTTCTATTTATTAACTCTTTACTATTTTTATTCCATTTTCTAGCCTGAATGGTTTAAACTTTCCCTCATTACTTGCTCATGGTAGATATAGTTAGCTCTTCTCTTCCTGTACCTAGGATTAGCTCCATTATTTTCACAAAATCATGGATTTTAGAGCTTTGAAAATCAGAAGTGATCTTCTAGTCTCTTCTAATATTGACTAAACTAAGGCTCAGAGAGGTTCAGCCAACTTGCACACAGTAACAACTGGGCAAAATTAGAGCTAGAAATCTCGTTCTCTGCCTCTCTTTATGCCGTAACACCTCAAACTTGGTGACTTTTCTATTATTGGAAACTGGTTTCACTTGGATAATACCTGAATAACATTTAAAATTCCCTGAAATGTGTTTCAGTAGTTTGACCAACATTTAGCTCACAAGGAATGATCTAATTATAGCTGACAAAGTTATCTACAAGTTTTTATTTTTCAATTTGAATAACTACAAACAAACTCATGAGGCTGTCTGAGCCTCAGAACTTAATTTAGCAGAGTATCTTCCTAAGAATTATTTTCTAGGAATTCTGATAAAATTTAACTAAAAAATAAAAATTGATTGAAAATTTATGGAACTGAAAAGAATACTGAGGGAGATGAATAAATGATTTCATATTGAGTAGGTCATAATAAAATTGTCATTTTCCCAATGCTGTTTTTAATCAATGAAATTTTCATAATGAGGAAATACGAAGTTTGAAGTGGAGGTCATTGCTTAGTATTTTACATTAATTTTAGTATATAAATATATGTTTATTAATGGAAAGCAATTTGTGAGCAAATAAGTGCTGTACTCTGTACCATTTCAAGTTAATCCGATTTACATTTTTTCTTAGTCAAAAACAACTATCTTATCTGAAGCAATGGGGAAGAAACGAAATTCTCTTTTTAGAAAATCTAGAAAATAAACTCTGGAAAATCTATTGTCACTCTAGAACACTTGATCCAAATACAGTATAATTTGTAACATAATTTGATGTTCAGCTGGTAATCAAAGCACTTATTAAATTTCTTCATAACTAATTGAAACATTTGCATAGTTTAGCAGCCTAAAATCTCATAGATTTAGAGCTTAATGCACAACAAGAATTGAAAAGATTATGAAGGTTCAGCATGATCTTGAGTCAATGCCTATCAAAGAAAATATGTAAGAAAAAAAGGCCCTTAGGAAATGTTACCCTGTGAAGTGCCACTTGTCCTTAACTGGAATTTAACACAAATCTCTAAAGTTGAAATTCCATCAGAAGTAGAGCGATAATGGCAGTTTGTATGCCAGCTACAGCAACCCAGGCTGTGTGTGTTTTTTGTACGTCTCTCAAGTGCTCTCAAATCTCTCAAATCCATCAGCCATCTCTGAATCTTTCCCTCCTCCCTCCTCCCTCTCTCTCCTCCCTCCTCCCTCTCCCTCCTCCCTCTTCCCTCTCCTCCCTCTCCTTCCTCCTCCCTCTTCCTCCTCCCTCCTCTCCTC